GTGGATAAGATTCAGACCAATGGACCAGAAGTCAAGTAGTGATTTGTGGTTGGTGGCAGATGTCTCGTCTACAATGAACACTGGAATGAATGCTTCCACTACCTATACAAAGTTGCCACCCATCCCCTGGTGCATAACACCATCAACATCAAATGCATCCTCATGTACATGGTAGACATGATCCTGCAGCATTAAAATACAAAGCTGCATGGGAAGACACCACAATGGCTCAACATGGTAAGCAAATGCAAGTGGATCAACACTGTTGTTTTTAACATTTTATCACAGGGCTTCTTCGCCTCATGGACAGCACTGTCATATATGCCTGCACATTGAACTATCCTAGGATTGAGTGACTGGTTTACAGAAGGCAGAATACAATGTAATCAATTCATGGTGCTTTGCGGGGTAGGCAGATTAATACAATGTAATACAATAAATTGTTAAACAACAATTCAGAAAACGTCTCCTCAATCCTGAAGTAGTAAAAGAGTTGTATATTGTCCAAGGCATAATACTGGGCAAACCTGAGGATATGACCAGGAATGCATGTACCAACTAAAAATAACAAAGGGGAATATGTAGGGGGTGCTGCCATTGAACAGACTGGTGTTAAAGGTGTGAAGGGTACTCACTGCTACTCTACTACTTGCACACATGTAGTAGTATCAAAATGAGTCTACACTGAAGGGAATTGAGCCACAGGAAGGTCTTGGGCAGAGTTTAGCATAGGTTCAAAAAACACAAAATTACAAACAGATGTACCTCCACAAAGGGTCAACAGATTCATAAGTGGTTTGTTGGAGCATTTTTGAGATGTGAAGTAGTGTCCAAATGAGTCCACATTGAAAGAAATTGAGCCATAGGAAGGTCATGGGCAGAGTTCACCATAAGTGCAAAAACATGAAAATACAAACAGACATACCTCCATGAAGGGATGATGGATTCGTAGATGGCTTGTTGGAGCATTTTTGGAATGTGTAGTAGTATCGAAACGGAATTGAGCCACAAGAAGGTTCTGGTCATAGTTTATTATAAGTCAAAAAAACATGAAAGTAGAAATAGAAGTACCTCCACGAGGGGTTGACAGATTCGCAAACGGTTTCTTGGAGCATTTTCGGGATGTGAAGCACTATCCAAACAAGCCTACATTCAGGGAAATCGAGGCACAGGAAGGTCTTGGGCAGAGTTTAGCAGAAGTGCAAAAACATGAAAGTACAAATAGATGTACCTCCACCAAGAGTTGACGGTTTCATAAACAGTTTGTTGGAGCGTTTTCGGGACGTAAATCAGTATCCAAACAAGCCTAAGTTGAAGGAAATCGAGCCACAGGAAGGTCTTGGGCAGAGTTTAGCAGAAGTGCAAAAACACGAAAGTACAAATAGACGTACCTCCACGAAGAGTTGACGGTTTCATAAACAGTTTGTCGGAGCGTTTTCGGGACGTAAATTAGTATCCAAAAAAGTCTTCGTTGAAGGAAATCGAGGCACAGGAAGGTCTTGGGCAGAGTTTAGCAGAAGTGCAAAAACACGAAAATACAAATAGACGTACCTCCACGAAGAGTTGACGGTTTCGTAAACGGTTTGTCGGAGCATTTTCGGGACGTAAAGTAGTATCCAAAGGAGTCTTCGTTGAAGGAAATCGAGGCACAGGAAGGTCTTGGGCAGAGTTTAGCAGAAGTGCAAAAACACGAAAATACAAATAGACATACCTCCACGAGGAGTTGACGGATTCGTAAACGGTTTGTCGGAGCGTTTTCGGGACGGGAAGCACTATCCAAACGAGTCTACGTTGAAGCGAATCGAGCCACAGGAAGGTCCTGGGCAGAGGTTGGCATTAGGGCAAAAAGACGAGTCACGGCATTGCCCGAAAATGACGTACTTCCTTTGCGGGCTACCTTCAAAATGCAAGGTAGCCCGCAAGGGAAGTACGTCATTTTCGGAAATTTCCGTGACTCAACTTGTGAGTCATTCCTTTTGATCAGCGGAATATTCACCATTATCCTCACAACTTCTCAGTACCTTCCTGCAGTCCGTTCGCTGAGG